GCATTGGCAGGATAAACGAAATGTGTGGGCGAGGTGTTTTGTTAAAACGAACTGAGCGACGGCATATGGTCTTTCGGAAATTGCGCAGTGCAGTAGAGTCCGGGTCCACAAGTTCACCCAGTCTCATCAAGCAATGCCAGCCAGTCAAAACCATCGCAATGAAAAGCTTGTCATCATGGGCAGGGGATTGTGGCAGGCTGTTTTGGATCATAATAAGATCATCCTCCATTAGAGGTCTCTTGCGGATGGTTGGGGTGTTGTGCAGCTTCATGCAGCCACTAAGGCAGCGTGATACGAAGGGGGAGTTCCTGATTGAGTGAATGTCGGGCCAGGCACCTTCGAGCTCCATGCAGATCCCTGACAAGTAGCTTTTGACGGAAGATGGTTGGATGTAATGGCACATGTAAACGATGTAGAAGCTAAGAGTGTTTTCAGATGGTTTCAATGGGAAACCGTGAGTCTTGCAGAAAGTGGCATAGGACATAAAGGCAGAAATGTAACTTTTGTGCATGCTTCGTTCCAGGGATGCTCCCAAAGCCCGCGCCCGCTCCACCATTAGATGCTCCATCGACCATTTTTCACGGGTGGGCTGCTTGGTTGAGGAGCTTTGTTGAGAGATCATACCTTCATCACCCCCAACATGTTCAGTGGGGGCGTGAAGTGCCTAATTGAGAGTTCAGGCATGTAAGAGCGTGCAGCGGTGAAAGCCTGCCTTGATAGGGCATCGGCGATAATGTTCTTTTTTCCTTCAATGTGGACCATACGCAAGTCGATTTTTGATTTCAAACAAATTTTCACCGAAGCCATGATAATCGGATTATAAATGTCCAGTGCACGCAAGGTGTTGAATATTGAAAAAGCAGTAGTGGAATCAGTGTGGATTGCGAGACGTCTGGGAGGAGGTGTCATGGAAGCGGCCCATTCCAGGGTGGCCAGGACGGTAACTGCCTCATTGAAGAAAATGTTGAAGTTCTGTTCTTGGTCAACCACCGGATCTGCAATGTAAGCTGTCTTGTGCTTTGGCGAGAAAACAGCCAAACCGATAGATGAAGCGTCGCCCCATATCTGGAAATCCGCATCCTCGGCACACCATTCTTCGGTATCCATCACCTGGATGCCCTCCAACGATTCGACCTGTTCTGCAAACCAGAGTAGATCGTTTCTCACCCGCTTGTTGATGAAAATGAAGGCATTCATAAACTTTCTCCCAGCGACTTTGTTGTATGATGAATTGAGAGCTGGTTTCAGGAGCGGGAAGACATTGAGCGCCCAGTTTGCGTAGCCGAGGATTCAAAGCCAGGCCCTTAAAGTCTGTTGTCGAGGGTTAGGTGGGTTATCAATAAATTCATGAATTGCCAAGACGAGTTTGGTCTTTGCCTCCCTTGAGATTCAGATTGACATCGACGGCAGATCCACTTCAAATCCGATTATCTCGAGGGTCCTTCCATGTTGCTGTTTCGAATCTTCATGTGGAACCCCGATCCAGTCCAAGAGACGCAAGAACTCGGCCTGTCCAACTGGCATGCTTCGGCTGTATGGTACATAAAAGCTGAGGCTCGGTGAGAAGCTGGCCAAAAAGGCATCATCAACATAATGCAGCAGGTCAGTGATTCCCTTGACATGTATGCCAATCCAGCAGACCAGCCCAAAAAACAAGCACCATAGGCGTCCAGATGCGCAGTTCCTGAACACTGCACATCTGTCAACATGATACTGGCCATCAATCAGTGTAGCTTGTTGTGCTTGCCAATGGGGGTGCATAGGTAAGCGTCAGTATGCCTGGGAAGCATCAGACTTCCACACGTAATAAGGTTTTTTACCACCATTAGCCTTCTTCCGTGTGCAAATGTTGGTCATGAGGTCCGAGAGGTTATCGAGTTTGACAAAGCCTCCCTCAGTTGGGATGAGGGAATTGAGGGAATTCATTCCTGCGCTGTGATCATTCACAATTTGGATGAACCTTTCTTTGGCAACGTGAACACTGGCTGCACTGTCATTCCTGGCAGTAGAGATACCCCAAAGGATTCAGAGTATCGACCCAGAGCGATCTCAGCATCATGCTGTCGCCAAAGAAACTCGACTGACTCATCATCGAGGTTAGGTAGGCCTGAGGGCTGCGTGACTATACCCTCGGGTTGCAGCTTAGGATCATCAGTGCCTGCGAAAGGCCATAAACCATGACGCAATCCATGACACATCGACTCCACAAGCACATGATTTGGGTGACCCACTAACAAACTCTCAAAGCGGTCAACATTGATGGGTGTAATGATTTTGAACAGGAAAGGGTGCTTAGCAATCGTTTGGGAAATGTTCTTATATCTGTAATCACCAGGAGGGACTGATGGGATTGGCTGTGCACTTTCTGTGTATGTAGCGGAAGGAGTACATCCATAGTCATTGCGGCCAAATATAAAGCGCATATGTCGTGGCTGCTGCCCAGCACACACAAGTCCCATAGAGAGTTCCTCAGGTGGCTGTCTTTTGGCCCGGCTCCTTTGTGCACTTGAATCGGGGGTGGTCTCCACCGCAGTCCTGGCAGACATGTCTAAATCTGCATGGATCGTATGAGCATCCTTTCTTTGTGTTAAATTTGCCACAGATGGGGGAGGTTCCCGTCCCTTTTCCTTGCTTACCCCTTCCACGAGATTGGAGTTGTGCACTGTGGGCTGCGATGCCGCTGCTGTGTCTAAGGAGTTTGAAGGCAATATCGCTAAAGAGGTGGAAGTCAGTGAAGGAGAGATGGTAGCGTTCCTGGACAAATTTCCGGACTGCAGAGTCATAACTGATGACAGAAAGTTCGTCGGCACAGGCACTGAACTTGTCCCGGATGTGTTCATAGTAGGTGTCGAGCTCTTCTCGACAGTGCGGGTAGGTGTAGAGAAGCACACGCTTATATTTCTCGAAGCTGGTGATCCATTCCCCTTGTGTTCTGATCTTTGCTTTCCCCTTGGAGCTGGACTTGCCAAGAGTGATTTCAGCCCCACCACCAAGGTCAATGGAGTCATGGTATTGGGGCGCGACAGCATTGTGGTCTTCGATGATGGTAGCAAGGTCGATGTGTTTGTCACAGATGAGGTCGCGCCAGAGTGTATGGGGAAAGGCTGGTGGTCGTTGTTGTGGGGACAAGTCCGTGCAGGTCAAACCAACCCTTATCACGCATTTCACCCCCTACTGCATCAGGGACTAGGATTGGTGAGTCGTGGTAATAGTAGGAGTTGTAGATACTGTGGAGGTGGTTCTGACGAGCCCAGGATCGTCGGATCTGGTTGGGTGGTTGAGGAGATATGACCTTTTCTTTATTTTCTTTATTATCTTCATTCATTCATGCATGTGACTTTCCTTTTATATTTGTATCGGACTCTTCTGTGACAACTGTACAGACAGTTAGTTAGAGGTTAGACAGAGTATCAGCACCGTACTCGCAGGACCCACATCTACCTGAGAGATAGAGAGATACCTACCCCCCCTAGACCTGAGTCGCGAGTCTAGATTGATAGACCCGTTACATCGTCCGCATGCAGCAAGGCTTCGGACCGCCGCCTTAGGGTCAAGGTTGTAGATGTTCCGCAAGCATCGGGTTTTCTGTTGGTTACTAAGTAAGTCGTTAATGTCCCAGGGCCAGTTACCTCCTGGGTAATCCCAGTTCCAGGCATATCGAGCATCATGGTCGTCATCAACCTCTCTCAGGCGCTTGGTAGTTCCCCCACGCTCATCTTCCCCATCATTGTCCCGTTGTCAGCGAGATCCAACAGTTGGGAGGGTTCGTCTGACTTGCTCGGGCACTCTGGTGGTACAGTCATCGGAACGGTTGATACCTCCTGATCGAACATGTTCGGAGGTTGTTTGGTGCTGACTTCCACGAATGATTGATTCTTCTCTGAGTTGTGCAGATTGGTTGAAACGGGCGATGTACCAGTCTGCAAGTTCGCTTCGTTGCTGGCTGTTGAGATTGGTGGCATGGTTGAGGAGATCCCAGAGCTGTCGATAAGCCCCATGCAATCCGATAGATCGATTTGAGTATTCTGAGTCAAGGCTATCAAGCTGGTCAAGGAGCCTTGTATGCACCACAAGAGTCGCGAGAGATTCAGGCGATAAGGAAGGAAAAGGGCGCTGTGAAAGCCCTTTTTATAAGCATGGCCTGAATTGTCATGAGCACTCTCGTGATAAGTGAAGTTCAGTACGTACCTCCGCTGGTGTGGTCCACTTCGCGCATCTGCACCAGAAAACCCAGCATACAACTGAGGCACAGTCCCTGGGTCCATCAAATGGTCAGGTTGCGCAGCAACTTGTGAAAGCGGCAAAGGGGCAAGTGCGGTGCTGAGACAGGTGCATCGGGGTGATCGAGCCAGGGGAAGTCATAGCGTTGGCTGACTAAACCTAATAACGCCCCATAGTGGAACGGAAAAAGTCACGTGCACAGCCACGAAAATTAGGAACAAATAACTGGAGATATGTATTTCGTGAATATCATAAATAAATGATCATGTGGGGATAGTCCAATCTGAATTGCTTCGACTCTGAATCAAATCTGAACCACAGGAGCATTACATCGCCATCTCCCCAACCTATTTTTAAAAAATATACACATACCCAATACACAGCCACGAACCCCAACCCCTGACCCAATGCCCAACCCACTAACCCAATGTCCAACCCACTAACCCAACTTCTTATTTAAGGAGTCTGGTATGTATTAGAGACAAGGTTCACATCCCACCATTATGGTGCACGGACTCACCAGCTGCAGATGATTGTCATTGTAGGCTTAAAAGCCACTCGTCATGACTGTCTTCTCTCTCTCCTCAGTTACACTATCGTGAACTGAGGTGAGGTCTCATTTCTTGGTCTCATTAGACCTTTACTCAATGACTTTGTCTAGCCCTAGTTTGTAACGCTAGTTCTCTCACAGTACAGAATATGGTCATATTTAACAAGAATCAAAGCCAAATAAGCGGTTCGAAAATACAGCCGCCATATTAAGGAGGATCTAAATCTTCGTGACTCATTGCTTTGGGACCATTTTTTGTCTCAATTCCACTCCGGAGTACAGTTTTTTTCAACAAATTGGCCGCCTCAAATTGCACCACAGTCTGTTTTATTCCTACATTCCCTCGATAATTCGGAGTCAAGTTATTGCATCAGTTTTTGAGCTGTGGCGGTAATTCTCGATCTACCCGGACAAAGGAGCGGGTACACAGATCAGACTAATTTTTGTTATTTCCCTCTGCCTCGGCGTTCTCAGGAGCAGCCTAAGCTTGCAGGCTGAATATCCACTCACTCACTCACTCACTCGCGCGCCACGTTCGAGTCCAAAGCACATCTCTAACCTACAACAATACGGGATACAAAGAGCTGTACAGTTCCATTAGACTCCTCAATAGATCATGGACGCGCGATCCAGAACGCTCACCCATAACACCGGACCCATGCAATGAGGGCTAGACCTATGCGAATTTCCCCTGCGCCCACCCTCGAGCTTGACTTCCCATTTCAACCGCAGCAGCACCCCAGTCTTCCCCATGGTTATGACCCTGCTTGCCATCCGGGCCACCTATTCCCCCTCTGATTAGAGCCTGCACATCCGCCAGCGCAGTCAATACCCCGAATATTATCGGAACCCCACTATCCAATTGGACCCGCATGAGTCCTGTAGAAACCGCTTCAGAGATGTGCATCGTTGAGCCTTTGAGAAGAACCCCAATCGCGATAACGGCATCAAATGGTCGAGATGGTATGTTGGCCGGCTTTGACGAAGCGATGGCAGGTGTGTTGGGACGAGAGTCAAGGGACAATAACGAGTTCGCGCCACTGAGTAGATCCGTTGCGGTTGAATATGCCTGGATTTGAGATGCAGATATGACCCTAACGAACACACAAGCATTTTAGGTGGAGCGGAAGCTTTCGCGCAGACTTTTACGACCATCGTCGCGCCTAACACGACAAGTACATACCTTGCGCATGCCAATGGGAGCTCAAAACTTCCAGGGACGCTCTGAATGACAATGTTACCCTCTTTAACACCAGCTTCCCTGAGCTTCCTCAGCGTCGCCACTAGCAACGCGTCGATGACCACCTTGTTCCATCTGGTGTGGACGATCGCAATGCGCAGATTGGAGCCGTCGTACTGCGTACCAAAGGGTGATAGTCCTTTAACGGTATGGTCTTCGCTCATGATTCCGGTTACCTTGCTTGCAAGGTCACTTCCAAACCCACAAGTGCGTGGGAAAAATGTGTTTATATTACTTTTACTTCTCATGTGATTCCCAATAGCATGTGACTATCCAACGAATTGTATTAACCAGTGCCCGATACCTTGCTGCTTCCCAAGTAGTATTTGCCGGCATATTCGAAGCATATGTACTTGAGTCTGCCTGCTTCAAGGCTTCGCACACAGGTCATGTACCTTGCAAATGAGAACTTTGTGACTGCAAGTTCTCCATCTTTGTCGGGCGCCATAGAGCACTTGAGCGACTTCCAAGAGGGCAGGATGGTGGGCAACAAAGCGAAACCCTCGGCCCCCACCGCTTCTCCTCAAGTTCCATTTGCGATGTTCAGATCGGTGTTTAGGTTTGATGTCACCAGCATGTCACTTGATAGGCACTGAGAAGAGGAACTCTGCATGTGTGGAGGAGATCATAGTGCTTAGAGACCCAGCTCCCCTTGTTAATAACCATGAAGAGGGTGGCTTGCCTTCCAAACAACACTTCTCCAGACCACTTTCTCTCTGGTTAAGTGCCGAAGGCAGGAGTAAGAGACGGTGTGTCCCCCCTCTGTCAACCCCTTTTATTGTTTCAGACAATCCTCAATTCAACTCACAGTGCTTGTTGTAAGACAGCAACAGTTGGTTCGACGCTTTAGCGCAAGGATACCCAACCTACATGATCTCGGTGAGATGCCTGATGATTGATGTTAGGTTTATTTCTAGTCGGTCTCTACTGTCTGATCATTCCATGTTTATTTAGCATTTATCTTCCTTTTTCCGACCTGTTGGTCACTTCACCTTCCTTTATTTGTAATAATCCTCACTCCTGTTACATTTGATTAATTGATGCTTAAAAGCTCAATGTTTCCTTTGCTGACGCCCTCAGTTCTCATTGCGTTCACAACTGTGAGACTGAGGTTGGTATATGTCAGGGCAATAGCCCCGAACCCCGAGCCACATGTAATTAGATACATATAGTCATGTGGGTAAGCGGGAACCTCCGGGTAACTGCTTACACACTACCGTAAAATACACACACTTGTATCACTTACGGCTCTGTGTGCTGAGCTACCCTGAGACCTCACACTTTTTTAAGTGTGTGAGGTGTGTTTTACAACACAACCCACAAAAACTATCCAATCTTAACATCTGACTCGGTAGCACCTATGGCGCCTAAACCCGCCTGCAAGGGCAAGGTCGCATCTGCAGCGATGCTAAAAAGAAACGAGCAGTTTATTAAGAAACCGCAATCTCCCATCATGGGAGATTCAAACCAACAGCCATCATCAGATGACAATGAGGATCAACACGATCCGGCATTAGCAACCACCTCAGGGCTGGCCCCTGAAGGTTTTAGAAACTTACATGGAGTAAGTGCAGGGCCTAATACCCCTAGAACTCCACAACATACTGATCTAACCCAAGCTGGGGAAGATCCTTCACCTCCTCATGAGGTGAATGACTTGCGCGATAAATGCGTAAGCACCAAACAATCAGCCCAAAAAGCTGATCGGATAGAGTCGCAGGAAACTCCAGGGCCCAACTATCCCCTGGAGTCCTCCCTCATGTCCCCAAGTCAAGCCCCAAAGGCAGACAAAGGAAAACAAAGGGAAGAGCCCCCACATCGGCTATCCAAAAAACTACTGGACTTGTTCCAGGTTCTGTCCGAATGGAGGATGGAAAGTGAAGACCAACTTCTCCTCAGGCTGAAAGCCTGAGAAGGCATGAAGATATGCCCTGAGAGCAGGATCTCCCAGAGCGTGGAAGCTCCAAAAGAACTTCCGCTGTTTACACTCCCCCACACCATGCCAGACAAGGCAAGGTCACCAACCTTGGAGGAGGTCTCCGAGATAATGAAGAGGAGGCGAACTGAAATGAGGGAGTTTGCTGAGGAAGCCTTACGGAAAAGTAAGGAAAAACCAGCGAACAGACCCCTCTATGAAAGGGAAGCACACTCTGCAACGGCCTCGCCTAAACAAAGCGAGCATGGAGTGTTCACTCCAAGAACCCCTTCTGGAACCCCCAGAAGCGGCAATGTCAACTGGGAGAGTCTCTGCTCACCCAACCAAACTTCCTCCTGGAAAACCAGGAATCGCACATAATAAACGCGATAAACTTGATCCAAAAAAAGATTGAGGAAACGAACCACAATAGTATGGCTCGTCTAAAGATAACTCTAGAAAGAATGGCCAATGCAATCGATGCATTGACTGAAAAAATCAGCGAACAGACGGACTTGCTGAAGGAAATAAACTTCTCACAAAAAAGTGAGGAAAAAAATAAACACCCTTGGACCACGGTCCAGGACATAAATAGAACTCGTGAAAAATTCACAAGAAGAACCACCAGTGAAAGCACACTGGAGTATCATCAGCGACTCGACAGAGACGCTAAGGAGATCCTTCTCCCAAGGATAGGAGAAGACAATGCCGAAAGAAGGCATCGTTCAGAAATTAGGAGGAGAATTGGCATGTACCAAAGGTTCAGCCAAACGTCCACTTACGATGGACCTCTCGAACAGAGAGGTAACTCAACCACACTCTCTCAAAGCAATGAGAGAATCCAAATACAACTTCAGGCGAATTCGCCTGAAACCAAAGAAATGCTGCGAGAAAGATTTCCCCCAGCGAAAACCCCCCCAAAGGAGAGATCTCCATTGGATAGTGACCCCGCAAAGGCAGGGGAGCAAGAGGAGTACCTGGAGAAATGGTACGAAAAGGCCATAAGAATGGCCAAAGTGAGAATACTCACTCCCTACCCAGAAGGAGTGAAGCCTGAAGCCCTAAAAAATGGGCCAGCATTCCCTGACAAGAAATGGTCAGGGGAGAATGACAAGGAATTGTTCTGGCAGTGGTTCACAGAACTACTGGGATTCCTCACTTTGCGAGGATGCAAAGGTCCCCAATTCGACAAAGTCCATCTGGACTGCTTGATTCGCGGATTAGGGGGACCCGCATTCGACCTCGGAATAAGACTCCAAGACGAAACTCTCCTCAGAGGAGACAAGGGCATGTTCCTTGAAGTTCTCAACATATTGATGAGAACTTTCATTAAAGCCTCTGCCGTGTTGAACGCGACAAAGAAGTACCACAACGTCAAATACGAAGTGGAAAAAGGCCTAAAACAGTTCTACCTAGAACTGTCCAAAGCAGCGTCCCAGATGGTGACGCCGCCAGACCAGGCATCCTTCAACACCAGGTTCCTAAACTACATTCCCCTCAAATGGAAGAGGGAAATGATTGCTCATGATAGAATCAGAGCAGACTTCTCAAACGAGGAGATTTTAAAAGCAATATCTTGTGTAGACGAGATAATCAATGGGCTGAAGATGTCTTCAGCCTACAAATCAGGATACTATACCTGAACAACTACCATGGCAACCATGAGCCGCGGCAGAGCCCTCCCATCAGGAAAGAAGGCTGAAGAGCCGAAACCCAGATGGAAAGAGGATACATCCTCGAAAAACTCGAGGAAAACCGACCAAAAGTCAGTTCCAATTTGCGGCAAATGCGGCAAAATAGGGCAAACGAAAGATTGCCCAAGACACAATGCAATGAGTGAAGAAAAACCAAGGCGCATAGCCACCATGGAGATTGTGACCACAACAGAAGAAGAGTCGGAAGACTCATCAAACGAAAAACCAGAGAACAACTCTGGTAACTCCGGAGCATCAAGCTTTGAAGTAGAGGACCCATACGAAGGACCTCAATACTCACCCGACTCAGAGGGTGAGGAAGTCAACATTGGGACCATAAGGATGGGCTGTCAGGGACGCGTCCGGGGTAGAGGAGGCCCGGGTGAGACGCCCAACACTAGAAGCCTCGCGGGGTGTGGAGCGGGCGTGCGTACTGGCGGGCCCGGCTCAGGAGGCAGTCCCTGGCCACTTAGACTGAAGTGGAAAAGGGTGTTATTATTATTAAAAGGGGATACTATGTTACTTACCTGAAGTGGAAAAGGGTGAGAAGAAGGCTACTTCTTCGGTTCCCACTTCAGGTATGTTTATATACATGCGGCTTAGGTCACATGACGGGTGCCACGTCATCCTCGCATACAGCCGTAGTCACCCAGGTGTCCCCGTGGGGGATCCCAAGGGCGTCCGCTGTGGGCGCGCGAGCTGGACATAGCGGGGGTCGCCCGAGGCGCCCGGGCTGGGCGTGTCGTGAGCGCGCTGCAGGTGGGTCAATGGTACATTGATACAAGGAAAGGTCGTCCGTGTAGAATAAAGAGAAAATAAAGAGAAGGTGAGACAAGTAAAGAGAGAGTGGAATGGAGGAAGAAAGAAAGAAGAAGGGGGAAGGAGGTAGGGGAGGACTGGGTGGTGGGGTACCGGGTGAAGTGGGGCCGGGTGGGGCCGGGTCAGGCGGGTGTGCCCTGACATGGGCCCAATGTCAGTCGTCGATCACGACGACATAAATTACAAAATCAAACTGGCTGTAGCACGCCAGTTAGAAAACACGGCAGATGAAAAAGTCGCTGAAGCCTTGGTGGAAGCACCAAAAATACACCAAAGTACCCAAAGAAAACAAGGACAAAGGGAAGAAGGACCAAAAGTCCATTGAAACCCAGTCCCCCTTGTTTGATGTGAAATTCCGCATCTCAAAAGATGCAGGAAAATACCCTGCAAACAGACCGCTCTCAACAAAGAGAACGCTGACAGCTCACATAAAAATAGCAGGCATAAAAGCCTATGCACTATTCGACAGTGGAGCCGAAACGGATGCTATATCGCCGGACTTTGTCTGCGCGGTCCACATCCCAATTCTCCGATTGGAGAACCCAGTCATCCTTCAAATGGGGATGAAAGGAACAAGATCACAGATCCTGTTCGGAACAAACGTGGATGTTGAGATCAACGGCCACGTAGAAAAACACTACTTCGATGTAATTAACATCGATAGATACGATGCCATATTCGGTGCCCCCTGGTTAAACAAAAACCAGGTAAGCTTAGACTTCTGGTCCCACAAAGTGAGAACAGTGAACAAGGGCAACATAGATACCCTTGGAGTAAGCGAAGACCATGTGACGAGATCACATGGATGGAAAACTCGAGCAAGAGCTCGAGAACAACCAAAAAAGAAGCCCCCCTGACAGGGAGGTGGGATTGAAACACACCTCAGGGTAATCGAAAGAAAGTACCCTGAAGGTTGGCCCAACCCTAGTCCGGAAGGACTAGAACTTCCAGACGTACCACATCTGGAAGGTCTCTCCATGAACAACCCCGAGTTTGAAATACTCAGGGAGTGGTGGAGAG